AGTGGAGGCCACAAAGTCGGGTCAGTTGTTGAAAAAAGTTTTCCGGTATACTTTTTATCAAGCAAGAACCAGATATTTCAAGTACAGTTAATGTCATTAATTCTCTAATGTCATCAATCGTTTCTAAGAACTCACAGTCCCTGAGCACAAGGACATTCAATTTTTTCAAGTATGAAAAGGATTGAGGCAATGATACTATTCTGAGACTAAAAAGACCTAGAATTTGCAGATCCCTATTGGAATCTAAGAGGTTATTTGGGTCGTCCCTGCTGAGACAGGTCCCTTCTAGTAAAAATGTTATTAATTGCTGCACCTTTCTATGACTGCCAAGTGTTCTGATCATATTGTCTATCTCTGTGACATTTCCAATACCATGCCAATCATTATTATCCACAAGCACATTAGCCAACCCCAAATTAGCTGTTCTGCCATATCCTTGACGATGATAAGCATTAACATTTACTGTTGCTCTCACCATGCGGAGGATGTTATCGTTCACTTCTTTCAGCATTTGACAGTCCATAAGCTGCACCAAAACACGGCGTCCCTCCTTATAAGCCTCCTCAAGACTATCAACAACACCAAGATATCCTTCCAGTATCCAGTATGCTATCAACTCACCATAGTGAACCGATCCACGGTCCCCAAAAAAATGGCTGCCCTGCCAAGAAAAGTCAACTAAAACACCATCTGGCACCTTTTCATATCCACTTGAGAGCAACTGGGTGTAAATGTAATTATCACCACCAGATGCTTCTTCCAAAGCATGTTCCAGATCCTGCACTTGGGAATCTTGTTGATGGTAACTTAATAGTTTTGGCAGCAAGGCTACTTTACCAGGTGTAAAACCTGTTTTATTCATGAAGTTTTTAACCAAAGTTTCTGCACCAGAGATTTCAATTACTTTTGCCGCAGCTCCTTTCTTTAACCAAGAAACAGACATTTCTGGAGTCAGAGGCATCATCTCAAACACTTTCTTATCTTCCTCAGATTGGTGCCTGACATCTTTGTTAGTAGAAGTTATCACACCTTAAGTTTCTGCTCTCCATCTCCATCAGCAATGGTTTTCAAGTGCTGCTGGATAAACTGAAGGACCTTGTTTAAGTCTCCATCCCCTTCTTTCATTTTGCTTCCTTCGTCATCCAAAATAACAAGAATCTTTTGAGGACCACCATCAGCTGAAAGTCTCATACATACCTTTTCCTTCAACTCATCCAAGGTTTCCTTTTTACCAACAATATCCTCTACCTTGTTAATATCCTCATCTTCCAGCTCCATATGAGTGGAAAAAACAGATAGCTGATTAGCAATATGCTCATAAAGAGCCATCTCGTCATGCTCAACACTCAAAGAAATCCAAAGGGTAGAGTGAACATCTTGGTTTTTTACAGCAAGGAGACCAACTTTTCTTGCCATCCATGTTTTCCCAGTCCCTGATTTCCCCGAAAGAACAACTTTTCTTGTCTTTAAAAGTTCAAGAACATCTGTAACCTTCAGTTCCACACTATTCTGGTCCATATCTGTTCCAAAAGTCCTGTATTATGGTATAATTACACATTCCAGCAAGAAGGAAAGCAATTGTATCACTATTAGGAACACAACCAATTCTAGCATGAACCTGCAATCTGCTCAGGAATACAAAAGTATAATCAATCTGGAATCAGCAGCCTAACCATTTGGGACTGTAATTTGTCCAACAAATAGTTGTACACATGCTAACATTTATGTGTGCATTAAAATCAGGTATGTGCACATTACTCATACGGATGTGCACGCAAACAAAAATATAATACAAATTTTTTATTCTTTTTTTTTGTGCACATGTTACTTTTTCTTACTCAAGTGATGTGGGGACTTGACCCAATGTTAATCTAATTAAACAACCGATGGGTAATCAGTTAGGATTTCGTATTGATGAAGGATTACTAATGGTTAACCCCAATAAGGTTTGGTAAAGAGGACCCTCAAAACCTGATACTTGATACCTACTATTGTTTGTGTGCATATATATAGAGTCTCAAATAGGAACAATTGTGATTAACAATGGGAAGAATGTTGATTTATCCCTCCATAAAAAGTTGGATTTTTCTCATATAGGTTCTTTAGCTCTGCTCAAACTTATGACTCAACATATTGTGTCAATTTAACATAAAAAAAGAATATCTATGTTTGCTTTAAATGAATGCTGAATCTCTATCTGTCTGCAAAATAAAAATATTTCTTCTTTCTCTACCTGTTCTTTCTCTTTCTAAGGAAAAGTTAATGGTTGAGAGAAGGATGTACAGTTGTGATAGCAACTGCTGAAACAAAGAAAGGTTTAAATAATAAAGGCTAAAGTTAATGAGAAAAGAAATTCAAAGAATAGGTTCCCACTGACTCATTCATTCCAGATATAATTGTCAACATATTCAAAAAAAGTGACTTCAGCTTCTATGGCAAGTAATGCAAGAGATACAGATAAGCGCCACAAAAAAAACAAGACTATTGTATCAAATAACTACTTGGTTAGCACAAAATCCTCGAATTCCATAACATTGAATGTGTAGTGCTTTAATCATACATAGCCTGGCCACAGCAATTAGTTAATACATCCTGCACATATGGTTGGCATGTGTTAAAGCATTTCCATTCAGGGAAACAGAAGATGCTATTCCAAAATTGATATGTCAGGCAATCTTTACTAGTTTTTTCTTATATTGCTTTCAGGCACCACGAAGTAGCCCTTTGGACCTTTATTAAACAAACAACCTAGTATGCAGCAAAACTTCCGGAGGTTGATCCTACAGATCAGTTTGCCACCATTTACAACTAAAAGTCCATAATCCAACAATCTAATAAGCACCTCATTTAATCCAGAGAGATTCATATGACATATTTCAGCACTTAAATTTCAATTTTCTGATGTCAGATTTGACACTCAATGAACTTTTGCCTTTGTGAAGCTCTTTGATGACAGGAAGCATTTTTTTTTTCTTTTTCTGTGCTATGCTTTCTAAATTTTCACGGGTACCGACTTTGCATCAGTCCGTGAATATCTCATGGTACTTTTAGACAAATGTTTTATGTTGTTGATTATTATTTTTTTTCCCAAATTCTTGTCATTCACAAATAAAAAAGGTGTGATGGTCTGGTCATACTTGGTCCACTACTGCCAACAGTTTTAACAATTCCACTGAACCAAGATTAAGCAAAGACTTAGATGAGTAATGACTTTCTTCCTAATTTTCTTAACCAACAAGCTAATCCAAGCCAATCTCCCTCCAATTACTTTCACACAGTCAAAAGACAAACGTGCTCAAGTGTTTTATTCGATGTTCACAAGTTACATACAATTTTAAACCAAATTTTTATCTCCCACCCCAGATTTTAAATATAACAGCATTGTCAAATACAGGCCCATATGATACAAGATTTGACTTGACAACTAGAATTAACTTCTGCCAAATAAAATTCACACCTCTAACAATCAAATCTTAGAGTTAATGTTATTTCTAACGAAAATCTTTAAAGACTGTACTATGTTAAAAGATAATTTCTTTGTTGTTCTTTTTCTTGTTTTGAAACTCCCGTGCAACAATAAACTGCATTATACTGCTACATTTGATCAAGAAAAAATGCTACATTACGTAAAAGATAAACTTTCTTCAAAAGGGTATACATACAACAGCTTAATCTAACAATTTGAGCTGATGAGAGTGAACAGAGTTTAAAAGAAGGAAAAAGAAAAATTGAAGACAAACCTGGAATTGCCTCTCGTTCGTCTATGATTATCTGCTGCTTCTTCAGTTCTCTTGTGTGCAGTTGTAGACAGCTGACACCTCAGAAGAAACAAATTTTTGTTGCGTGGGAGACTATGAACTGTAAAGGGGTAGTAGACGAGGAAAGGATCAATAGAGTTAATTTCATAAAGGCGAGGAACAGAAGACGTAAAGGATAGGACTTTAGCCCAAGTGACTTCCAAGAAACCCAAAATGGGAAGATTATTGAGGATAAGGAATATGAATTTGGGGTAATTGGATCCAATATGTCCTGAGGTCATCAGCAAAAGTTTGGAGCTTTATCCAACAGTTTTGGCGCTTTGTCCAGCTGGGAGACCTTTAAGCAAATCATTGTAGTTTTTGATTTTATTTTTATTTTTTTTGAATATGTATTTTTTTTTTCCAAACGATAACAAATTTTGAATATGTACTTAAATATTGGAGTTTTTACTTTTTAATAGATACGTTTGGCATGCATTACAAGAATAACTATTCTTGCAAGGACACACTTCTTGTTGGTGATGAAAAACGTACTAGTAGGATCTTCAAAGAAGCAACCATGGATATCATATCAAAATGATTTTGAAAAATGAAATGAAAAAAAAAACTATGGATGAAAAAATAGATCAGCGCATTAAGCCTTTTTATTTTATCATTTGGCAGAATTCAAGCCCTTGGTTATATTTCAAACAGTCGTTGAGTTATTTCATGGATCAAAAGTCGAAAATTTTTTTAGATTAATTAATTTTTTTTTTAAAAATTACATTATAAAGATATTTTTAATCATATTTATATTTCACACGCATCAAATCACAGAATATACTATAGTACTACTTTAAAAAATTAAATAATCATTAATACCAACAAACCATACCATGAGTAATTGGTTAAAAAAGTATATATATTTTTTATTAATTGGCAAAAAAAAGTTAAGTATAATATTTCATTTGAACTCATTTATTTTTGGTTCATAATAATATGCATGTTTAAACTTTTTCTTTTTTTCCTTTGAAATGACATGTCTAGATTTGGAATTTATAATCATAATAACACTGCCTCGGTGAATTTTGAGTTTCTCGATAAGTTTCTCCCCTTCCCTTTTTCCTTCGGTCCGCTTATTAAATTCCACATCTTCCTTGATACAAATTAAAAAGCAAAAAAGTCTTGCAACACACTTCACCTTTCATTTTCCTTTTTCTTTTCCAAATAAAAAAGCAATAAAAAAAACCATGGGAAGAGTGAAGAAAAAAGCGAGGGGACGACGACCAATCACACGAAGACTATTAATACTCTACCTAGATTTTCTTGCATTGTAGTGTCGTATTTGGCTAGCTAGCTGCTGACAAAAATCATCCTTCAAAATTAGTTGTAGAAGAAAGCAATAATTGCTGTGGCTCATCTTCCAGACTTCCAAACATCCCCCACACTCGCAACACTCCGGTGACTTACCCAAGCTCTCCGGTGTCCTTGTCCCACCTTATTTCCGCCGGCCTCTGCCCAAAACCCAACATAACCCACCTCCCAACTAGGGCCAATATCAAACTTTTCCAGGATTTCTGCAGAAGTTTTTTGGAAAACAGAACCCCAAAAAAAGAGTAAAAATCATATCTTTATCGAAAAAGAAGATATTTTTTCGGTTTGCTGTTGGAAAATTTTATGGCCCGGTATTTAGCTTCAGTTGTTTCGTACATCTCCATAACTATTGCCGTATATTTGATCCCACTGTCTTCTTCTCTTCCATTTGTAGTACTTCATGGTACTAATTACATGCTTCTGCAGTTCTTATTATTATTATTTTTATTATTTTCCTCCCCTTCTTTGTTGTGTAAAATTTTGATTTTTCTTAGGTTTGAAAATTTTGTAAGCTTATGAATAATGCTTGTGATGATAGGAATTGGAGATCAGTGCTCAAACAGAGGAATGAAACACTTCACAGAGGAGCTGACGGAGTGGTCCAATTCTACTGGATATTGCATGTATGTCAATTGTCAAGTTAATATTTCGCTAACAAATTTCGTCCAGCTTTTTATTTCATTGAAAGTAATAAGATGTATTTACTTAGGGATTACTTAGTTTATGTTCAGGGTTTTACTTGGTTATCTATCGTGAAATTTATTAGGCATTCTTGTCTCTTTTGGTGATTGGAATCATTTCAGTACTTAGTTCTGAAGTCAATGCAATTTGTAGCTTAAAAGATGATACATATATTGGCGATGTGATGACATAAGTCAGACTGCATGCACGATCAAGATCATGAGGTAATTACAAAAGAGGAAAAGCGATGGAGAAGTATTAGGCAATGGGAAGGACCAAGTCTAAGCAGCCTAATAGTGATGATAATTTGACTGGTAGAACTCTCTGGCAGATGGTGAAAAAATCTTACCTAGATATGTAATGTATTAAAAATGCATCAAGAAAATTTGTGTGATCTTAGGTGTTCTATTTGCTTTTTATTGGCAAACAAAGTTGTCTCAGCGTAGCTTAAAACTTGTTCAAATAGTTCCTGTTAGGCAATGCTGCTAATATGTTTTTCGCCATTCCCCTTTTGAATTTTCCAGTTATGTTGAGCTTGAGCAATTTCCTTTAGCAAGATGATAGTTCTGTATTGTGTTTTTAATTTGTAGAGAAATTGGAGATGGGGCTTGGGACTCCTGGTTTATGCCCTTAGAAGAACAGGTAATTGATGGGGCGTTGATACTAAACAGTCACTTCTAATGCTTAAAATACTCGACGTAATGCCATCCTAAACTTTGCCTTTTCTTTGTGCAGACTGAAGTAGTTTGTGATAAGGTAATACTTTCCGGGTTGTTTTGTTTGATTGGTGAATTGATTTATCTGATATCAACCTGTATGCTTCAACGCTTATTTATAGGTGAAGCAAATGAAAGACCTCCAAAATGGTTACAATATCGTTGGTCTATCCCAGGTATAATTAGAATAAAGCACCTTTTTAAAGTAAATAATGAAATTTTAATGTGGCAGACAATTTACAAATGCTTTGTTTTACTCTTTGCATAAGAAACCTTGTGAGTCATGGTCTATTTTCCTTAAGGAATTATGTCCTACTTTTCATGGATAGATGATTTTGGTTCAAACAGTATTGGAATTATTTTTGTTGCATATGTAGCAATCATATTAAATTGCTTTCATGAATTATATTTCAGTACCAAGATTCACCCTTCGTTTGAGTATGTCATACAGATTTTGATGTCATTGCACCAGCCTAAATTGTAGCAGGATACTATTCTATTGGATGATTTGCTAAAGTCAATGCTATGCGAAGTTCATATGAAATTTAAACCAATGCCAAAAATACAGTGGGTTTCTCTAAAGTTCCTGCCATGTATACATCATTATTTTGTAATAGCAGAAGTAGGTTCGCAATCCTGGTGAAGGATGTTGTAGGAAAACCCGAAATCAAGACAAGTTTTTGTAGCAATTGGCAATTGGTTTTTAGGCTCATTTTAGTGCCAAATAGGTTTATTCGTGATTTTCCGGGAAAAGCAGGTGCACAAAATATGTGGGGGCTATCACTTTGTGCTATTAATAAATATAAGGAAAGATTTATATTTTGTTGATTGTTTTAGCTTGTGTTCAATCACTCCCCTCTGTGACTTACTGCCGATTTCAAGAAGTTATCATTCATTTTTCTACCTTCATTACTGGTTTTGCGGTTTGAAGTTTTTATTTATATTTTTGTACTTTTATTCTACAGGGGAACTTAATAGGCCGAGCTGTGGTAGAATACTGTGATGGTGGACCACCTGTAAGAACACTATGCCGGCAAATTTGGTCTTTCATTTCCCCTTACTGTTTCATTTCTTCCAAATACACGTGTTTAATTAGCACATTTCAGAAAAGTAAGGTTGAATGTTGTAGATCTACACGAGTGCTTAATTATTTGCAGAATCATCGTTCTTGTACTCCTATGGAATTTGATCTTGGGAATAAATATCTGTAGATCTTCTCCTCTTCATCGATGGTAACTTTGATTCATAGAGTTATTATTCAAATTTTGAAGATTACCAAGACTGAATAAGTCAATGCATGCCAGATCAGTGCCCCATGACTATTCTTGTACTTGTAAAAGGCGTGAAAATTTTCATATCAGGTGTTATGTGCTTTATCGTGTGGAAATTAGTTTTGGGGCTAGTCACTGCTAATTATGTTTCTGCTACTTATCCTCTCTAAATACTGCTACAGTATAAGTTTGTATGCTGTATTTTCATGCACTAATTAAGTTTGTGTTATCCTTAATTTTTTGACTAATGTAATAGGTCAAGAACTTTGTCTCGTTGGGAGGGCCTCATGCCGGCATAGCTTCAGTCCCTCTTTGTGGTGTAAGTGACCCCATAGCTTGCTCATTGCTGATCCAATAGGCTTCAGTTTCATTTTTTGCAAATGTGATTCTATTTTGTGCTGCATCATTGTGGCAAATGTAATTTGGATTATAGCAGGTTGTTGTAGTGAATATATATCTGATTGCTACTTGTTATAATTAGCTCTCGATGTGACACCATTCAGCATACTGAACACAGAGATTGATAGTTGTCAAAAGCATATTATAAATTGTACACTACTCTTTATTGATCGAAGCCTTCAATTTTAACTCTGAAGTCTTGCTTTTTCTATATTGATTGCTTATCTTACTTAGTCTTAGATCCCCACGAACAAGCAGAATCCAACCATACTTCTTCATTGAATTAGAGGAGCTCCTCTTCCTAGACAAGCTGATCGAGGAATACTTGGAGACACATCTACCTTCATTTTCGGATATGCATGGGTTGTACCTTATTGCTTGCTTGCTGCATCTATTGCAAAAAAATTATCACTTCAGTGGAAGAGATGGATGCTATTTTCTATTATCTGATTTTGGTAATAGAGGCCTATACAGAGTGATGGTGTTAGACTATCATTCACTGATAAGACACTGTTGTTGTTTAAACATATTCACGAATTGAGAGAATCCGTTCAAGCATTGGAGAATCCAGTCATGGTGTAGTTATTATAGTGGCAATGCAATCTTTTAACATACAAGTTGTTACATTCATGCTAAGGTGCCTGTGTAAACCCCCTAAGTATTCCTAGAGAATCAAATGCCTTGGCAAACTGTACTCAAAAAGGTTCATCTCGTATTCCTTGGATTTGGGGCTTCGAGTGGATGCCCCTACCAAAGATGCAAAAGAATGTTGATCCACTTTCATATTTAACTCCATAACCTGGGAAACCACCTTTCTTTCCAGAGTTTCGCTTTACCCAAATTCATTGCCCCCTTGCTCACCATTTGAATTCATTTATTTTGTCTAATTAGACATCCATCTAAGTTGAAAATTCAAATTTAAGGTGAATCCTGTATGTTTCGCCTGGAGTGTTTTTTAACCTCTGGCTGTATCACAGTCTTCAACCATGATATCACTTGTCTGATAAGTTTTGTAATTGATCTCTTTCTTTGATAAGTTTTTGATAGTAATCCCTCAGTCTGCTAAGTTTTTTGCGCGGATAGTTACTCATTCCTATTGTTCTAATCCTTTCTAAGGGAAGAAATTTGCCTCATATAGTGCCGAATCTGTACTAATACCTTGTACTTTCTTTGCAAATGCCAGAGATAATCCACAATAAAACTCCAGTACTAGGTTAATAGACACAGCAAGCATTTTGGACTAAGGTTATATGTGTCCGTGGGTTATGTTCTGCTTCATTCTTCACCTGATTCATGTGGATTTTCGTGAATTTTCCATTACTTTATTGTTTTTACTTAATCCCATGACAATAAGTTGACTGGTTGTTCTTTTGCAGTCTGGCATCATGTGCATTATAGCTGACTCCCTAATCAAAACAGGAATCTACTCTGACTATATACAGGCATGCATCTCTCTCTGTCTCTGTCTCTCTCTCTCTCTCACACACACACACTTTTTGGTCTCTGGTAACATTGTAATTGATTTCTGTAATTCTCTTCTTCCGCTTATTGATAATGATTTGCAGGAACACTTGGCTCCTAGTGGCTATCTGAAGTTACCAAACGTGAGTAACATTTATATGCATGCAGCTGAGTGATGTAAAAGTATTGTCTGTCATTATCTTCTTGGACATTTGCCAATATCAGGGATTGATCAATCATTTCTTTCCAATTGGCTTATCGCTTTGAATTGTGATGACAGGCAGGAAATAATGTATCAAAAGAATTATAAAGCCATAACTGATGGCTTAAATTGCACTCACACAACAACACTGTCATTTCTTGTCTACATTGAAAATGTTTTTGGTGGTATAAGCTTCATATTATTGGAATATCTGTAGCTGATATATCATTTCTTTTTATTGGGGAAAAAAAACAGAATATTGCTGGTTATTTGGAAAAATGTAGGTTTCTGCCAAAGCTTAACAATGAAATCCCTGGTGAGAGAAATTCCACTTACAAGGCAAGGTTCAGTAGTTTACAAAATCTTGTCCTCATCATGGTATGCTGTAATTTCTGTTGTTTCATTTGCCCTTTTAATTACTTTCATTGACTTTATGTAGAAGGATAGTGGGTTTTTCCATGTGACACTTGTAGTATTTGCCTGTGACAGTTTGAGCATGATACAGTTTTGGTACCAAAGGAAACTTCCTGGTTTGGATATTATCCAGATGGGGCCTTCAACCCAGTCTTGGCCCCACAGCAGGTATTTCTCCAGTTCTAATAGACCCTAACGCATACTTTATACAATTATACATTTATAATTGGGGGAAAAAATTCTGGGGTAAAGATAGATTTTCATCTCATCTTTTTAATGCAAAAATAAGAATAACAATGAAATAACAATAACAATATATTTTATTACAAAATAAAACAAAATACAGTATTGAGCCTAAGGCTCAAGATATTTCTTTGGATTATCTTCTATCGGTCTTCTTGTGGGCTAAAATTAATGACAGTGTTGCTGTCATGTAAGAAAACACCATTTGCTAATGTCAAGCCCTTGAAACTCTAACCCGAATGATGATAAGCTAAGGGATAACAAGAAGCAAAATGGAAAAAGCAGCTAAGCTAGAAATGTCTAGCTTCCAGACTACCTGTATAACTGCTGTTATTGGTCCATACCTCTTATCATTTTGCTAGCTTCTTGACCTTACCACAAGAATAACTGCTTATCCCATTCCTGCATGGCTACAATGACCATCCCTGTCTTGCCTCTTTAAGCTCAAAGAGGAGAGAATCATGCTGATACTGCCACTGGCAAACAATCTCTCGTCTTCTCCTCTATCCTAGCTGTCTATCTCTGAGCCTTTCTGAACCATTCTCCAGACACAGGCTCCCTCTGTGTGTGTGTGTGTGTGTGTGGCCGTGTGTCTCTCACTCTAATTTGATCGAAAAAATGTTCTGAATTCTTCCTGCAAAACTGCAAAACTGAAGCAGTCCCAACTTGTGCATGCAGTTTTGCGAAAGTGAGGATAAAAGCATAAGCTGTCCTTGTATCTTCGTGCTTCTTAATTCTTGCATGTAAATTATAATTAAGTATATTAAAATGCAAAGCTTGTATTGCATCATTCTTGCAGACCCAGCTTTATATCGAGGACTGGATTGGGTTAAAAACTCTGGATGATGCTGGGAGGGTAAAATATGTCACAGTATCAGGGAATCACCTTGGGATTTCTAAACCTGATATGAAGAAGTATGTCGTCCCATACTTGGAAGATGATACATCCAAGGAGGACACTGCCGAGATTGAACTTGGACGCTCTGCAGACTCCGGTGAAAATAGTGAAATGCAAACCTTACAGAGACCGCAGGATGAGGCATCAGCAGAAGTCATAACTGCAGGTTCATCATCTTATAGCATTCCTTCTTCCATCAGGAGCTTCTTTGAAGAATTACTTGGCACCACAAACACACAGTATGAGCCAAGACTTCGATATTGAATTTAGCTCATCTGGTTTGTTAAATTGTGTAAACCAATTAAATCTTTATCTGTAGCAGATATCGGCTTTGGTTCTGATCATGGTCCTGATTTTGTTAGCCTGCAAAATGCTTGTATGTGCTTCTCTATACGAAATCATTTGTAATACTACCAGATGGCCTTTATGAACATATTTACAACACGCAAAAGATCCTTATAAACGGCCTGCTTTTCTTTCCTCTTTCTTATGAGATTGGGAAGGTCTAGCCTATACTTTCTTTCTTTCTTCTTCTTCTTCATCTTCTTCTTCTTTATTTCAGTCATTATTCTTGACACTTCTATCAGTGAAGCACAACTTGTGCATATTTATACTATATTTACCTATCATATTTTTCAGGGATAGTGGGGTATCAATTACAATCGTCATCCCTTTGAAGGAAAAGCAAAGGAGGCCGTCTTTTTTTTTTCAACAAACGAAAAAAAAGAGGCCGTCAAGATGTCACAGAAATGATACAGGCAATTATGGTATCTTGTCGAACGATAGCACCAGTCCGTTAACATGAACTGCTTGTAATTCTTAAGTAAAGGTCTCCAGCTAATCTTACTCGCAAAAACATGCATGTCGGAATCCTTGCAAGTTTAGTTTTTACGCGAAGCAATTTATTTGGTTTTCTTTAATCTCTCATCTTAGCAAGACTTAAAATTCGGATAAGAATGGACTTGTTCATGATAAGAACGACGACCAGTAATTTCGATTGTGCTTGCACCAGGATTTCGATTACTTCTGAGTGTTAATCTAACTTTGTTATGTGATTTTCAGTAATTTCGATTGTTGAAAAATGATACGAATGACGACGAAACTCGAGGTAAATGGTCAATACTGCGAGCAGGGACGGAACTAGAATTTGAGGCTCGGAGGGGGGCTGCAATTGAAAATAGTAGATAATGTCTGAAAATTTAAGTTCAAAATTTGCAACACAATAACTAATATATTAACATACTCATCAAAATCTAAATTCACTAGGAAGTCGAGAAACAATGAACAGTACTATAGAAGATTATTCGTGGCACCCAATTCAATACGGAATCTTTGGTGTTTAAAAAGCTAAACACTAGACCTATATGACACTACTAAATTGAAATTTATAATTTTCTGTTGGTCATCTGCGTGAAATTCAATGGCACATCTAAATCACATATAAGTTACCATGCAAATATACAATTGTGATATTTTTCTAAATTAACTACACTTTTTTCAAAAATTAACACTTGAGACTCCTCTTAATGAGTACCCGTTAACCAATTAGGTGTTCAAATAATATAAAGGTTGGTTCTCCCGTATATATGTTATATATACAACTTATGTAGTTGTAATTACTAATATTTTTATTTTATGTCCAATCTAATGCAATGCAAATGAAATTCGAATGAGATTGTATTTCCTTTTATCTTTTGTTTCCTGTTTTTTTAATTATATTTCTTTCATTTCTAATGAGATTGTATTTCCTTTTGTTTTTGGTTCCTTGTTTTATTATATTTTTTTAAATCAACCGTAGAATAGGAGTTTTGTTGTTTTAGGATATATTTGTGTGGAGAGGAAAGAAGGACCGGGTATAATGATTAAACATTTTACTTGAAAGCGTCAAAAAACTGATAGGAGATAGGAATCCTTCATGCGACTAGAATAAGAGTAATTAAGAAATTAATGAATTTCAATTTCAGGTTTCCAGAAATATTTTAGATTTTTGGGAACAACTATTGCCACTGCAATCAATGTAATGAATACATAATAAACCTGGCAAAGAATTAAAACTAAAGTAAAGGATCTAATCTAAAACCAGAGATGGACATGACTGATAACTTTCCATTTGTACCTAGAATGAAAAGAAAAGAATCAAATGATCAAAATTCTATGGCCTAGAAAACTATCCCCTTCTCCCTTTATACCTTGAGTCAAAGAAAGAAAACAAATAACTAGAAATCCACAGCTGGAAAACTTTCCTTCATTACAAACTATTCCCTTTCCCAAGTGCCGTCATTAGAGAAATTGAGTAAACAAAAGCAACTGTCAAACTCATATTTGGTAACAAAATTATAGAGTAAAATAATATTTTTTTTCTCTACTTGAGAACAAAATAGGATGGAATGTCCCTTTCTAGCTCCAATTATCGCATGATTTCTATAACCTCTGACCCTACGCTATATTTCTGAGTTGATATGTAACTATAAGATTATGAAATTAATCCCTCTACCATTTTTGGACCTTCGTATAAACTTCACTCGATTTACTATCCTCGAATTTTGCCAAACTCAAACGAGCTTTTTCCTCTGAAATTCGAGGTTGTACTCTATAATACAACTTATCTAAGCTTGCTGTTTAAGACTAGTTTCAGGACTCAAGAATTCTGTTTCAAGTTTGAATATGACTGATTACTACTAGATTTTGGTACGTTATTATCAGCATTGCACCTCAACATTAATTCTTATGTTTTAGTGGGAACATATCCATTGTCCACTCCTTTCATGAATATCATATTAGTAGTCCGAATTGAAAATTTCAAATTTGCTCTCTTCTACGAGTAATTTGCATGTAATACAAACAGACACAGACAAGTTACAATCAAGAGGAGAAATACCATCTTTTTTACGTTATACTTATAGTTCCTCTCCTGCAGAGAAGTTGGAAATGGAGCAATAACATCCTGGGACACTCCCTTGGAGGCACAGGTGGTTGATTAATTTGTTGTATATTGCAAGATATTGTCTACTTACTATTGACTAAAGATCAGATTACGTTCATATATGACTAAAGATCAGGTTATCTTTTTTACAGTTAACCTGCATATATGATATCCGTAATTGTCACCTTCAAGTTTCATTTTGAAAATTTCAGGTCGAAGAAGTTTGTAGAAAGGTGAAGGCAATACCTGAGCTCCAAAATGGCTATAACATTGTTGGTCAATCCCAGGTGATTATTAACTCGTGTCTATGGCATATTGTCTGTTTCTTGCATATTGTTGTCTCTTTCATTTTAAGGACTCTTTTCGTTTTGGGTATTAATTTTAATTGAAACTTCCCTTTAACATTCACAAGAAAGCAACGTATTGTTTTATGCTTTCAAATATGTCACATTCTTTGTAAAAAACCAGTTTTTTGTCAAAGGTTGCCGTAGGATTGCAGATGCGTAACAATATCAAAATGGATTGGTTTCCATTTTATTTTTTTTTTTGGTTTTTTGTGGGCAACAAAAGATTGTTAAGTTTGGTATATCATCACCACATGTAACAACTCTGGGTTCTTTTTCCTTAAAATGTATCGCAAAATTAGTCTTCGAATCTTTAGTACATAATCAAGTTTGGGTCGAGATCTTGATCTAGTGCCTAATGTTGACCTTCAGGGGTTTTGGATTCAAATCCTCTCCCCTATTTCCTTCTTAATTTTTCTTCCCTACTAGAAATTTTTTTTGTTTTTTTAAGTCTAGTGTGGAAGTATATTACCCATGATTAACGAATATGATTCATGAATTTCTCCAGCCATGATTTTTTTAATCCTAATTGTTTAGCATATTCTGATTTCCATCACCCGAGTTCGTGATAGCATTCAATACCATCAGTATTAACTATTCTCATTGCTATAACATTTCCAAAATTGCAATCTGTTTTGCAGGGTAACTTGGTTGGCCGAGGTCTAGTTGAGTTATGTGACGATGCACCACCTGTAAGAAGCAGCTAGAACTCTGATAATTAGTTTTTTTCCTGTTCTATAATTTGTTCTTAAGTCTTTCTTTAAATATCTATATGGCTACTTTGTTATTGTAGAATAGGGTGTATTATGTTTGAAGTGGACAGGGCTTAATATTAACTGAATCTAAGAAGCATTTCTTATGTGATCATGTAATTCATTGCATTCACCTTCTCTAAGTTCCAGCCATTACATTTGAAGCCAATTTTTCTTGTGCATTTGTCTCCACAAAAGCCTCCAGGTTGGATTGTATAATAGCCCCACCTACTTCTCAGTTTCGCATTTTGAAATTGTTAGACATAACTATAATGATAAATTTTGGCAAGTCCAACTTCACATCTCTATGGCTGATAACGTTATCTGCAAGAAACTAGGGAAAACCTTCAACAAGTAATATAGGAATAGGTATCTGCAAAAATGTATCTGGAATCTTCATTTCCAGTACGTTAAGATGCGTTGATTTTCCAGTATTCTTAAATCCTAATGGGTTCTAATTGTTGTTGTCCTCTTTTTTTTTTTTTTTTTTTTTTTTGAACCATGATTTTCTTTACTCTTACGCTATTGATACTACCTTCCTCTTTCAATTGATGAAACAGGTAATAAATTTTATATCATTAGGAGGGCCTCATGCTGGTGTTGCATTTATTCCTAATTGCTCTCAAGTAAGCTCTCTCATAACATTGTCATTAGTCTTCCTACCATGGCATTTCTAATAACAGACTTGCTTTATTGGCGTAACATCTGGAATTTTTTTTTTTATTGGCTTAATATCTGCACATTCTTTGCAACCAGGAGAAGAAGAAAAAAAAAAGCTAATACGGTTAATATTCACAGCAAACAGTAGAAATTGATATTACCGAGGACAAATTAATGTTACAGATGACTTGAAACAAAGACCTGTCTATATATACTTTCTGAGTTTGGACTTATATGAAGCTGTGGGACTTGAATATTCTGTTCTTTTTTTTTTTTTGGGTAAAAATGAATTTTCTGTTCTATGCAGTTTTTGCCACATAACATTAAACTGTACAGTAATTGATTTTCTCTTCATTTTTGCAGTTTGATGCCCTCTGCAATCATTATGCTGCATTGCTTGGCCGGGGAGTATATACAAACTATGTTCAAGTATACTTAAATTATCTCTTCCATTCTGCCCAGTTGGGTTAAAGATGTTGGCTTGAAACTTGTTTTTGATTTGCGATTGCAGGCTCATGTTGCCCCAAGTGGCTATACCAAGCTACCATATGTCAGTACACAGTTTTGTACTTGATAGAGCATTTCCTAATTCGCTCTCTGTATATGACCCTTTTTTGACTGTTCTACATTCTCCTTAATACAAAATTGTACATGTTACAAAATTAGTTATTAACAAGCTGAAAGGGTGTCAAACTTATGTTTTAGATTCCCAAGTGTTAGCATCTGAAATTTTTATTTCTTCGCTTGTATTGCAGGATTATTTGGTATATCTAGCGAAGTGCAGTTTTCTTCCAAAGCTTAACAATGAACTCCTGCAAAAAAATGCAACCTACAAGCAAAGGATAACTAACTTAAAGAACCTTGTGCTTATCATGGTATGGCGGATTGCCTGTCGTTTAAGTGCGATCCTTCTGTTTCTTTTGGCTTAAAAATGATTGACGTTGCGCAGTTTGTGCACTTGAATCATTTTGTTATCTTAACTTTGTCATGAAACAGTTTCAAGAAGACGGTGTTGTGAAGCCAAAAGAAAGCTCCTTATTTGGATACTACGCGGATGGGATTCCCGGACCAGTTCTGCCCCTACAGCAGGTAATCAAATTGGATGCTAAATCAGTCCTCTTTTTTTTAACCCTCCTTCTCTATGCTAGCAACTAAACATTGGTAGGGAAAAATGAAATGACTGCAACATAAAGATGTTACTTGATCACGTAGGATTTAGGCATGCAGAGTAATGATAATCCGGAATCCCTTTGACATGAATTGTTCTGTGCAGACTCGGCTTTACACGGAGGATTGGATCGGTTTGAGAACTCTGGATGAAACAGGAAGGCTCAAGCTGATTAGTGTGCCCGGAGTTCACCTTCTGATCTCCCTGTCCGATACAATGCGATATGTCGTTCCATACTTGAAAGATGACGCGCCTGTCAAGCCGTAAAGGGCCATGCTGTAAACGAGTTCTCATGCGATCTGCTCTAATATTTAGAAAGCAGGTTCTGAAGATTGGACAGAAAGAAGATCTCCTCACACTAATCATTATAGGTCTCCTGGACCATATTGGATACTAGTTTACTAATGGAGGTGTCCATTTTTCTAAAGAGAGACAAATACTTCTCTTTAAAATCCTCCTCCTGTTTTCAGAACTACTCTTTTTTATACGAATTTTTCGAATTCGGTGAAATCGGAATTTACCGAATTCCGAATTGAATTCGAATTCAGAATTGGTGAATTTGAAATCGAATTCGGTCGAATTATCAAATACCAAAATTTCAAAAAATTTTGAATTCAAACTTCCGACCGATTTCGAATTCGATACACACCCCTAATAATTAGTCCCTCAAATATACATATGTTTAGACTATTGCACCGCCCCTAACTTATAGTAATTCATTTCCTACTTCCACCCTACAATTGTAAACTGAACACAAATCAACTTTGTACTAACAAATCTTGGCAATTCCAAAATTAAAGGGTGCAATCAAACCTTTACAGGGACTTTGCTCACAAGAAACAGTAGTAATTGCCTGCGGGCTCTGTTGCGGCACTTCCCACAAATTTCCGCTACATGCTTGTTTGTTTGCTAACGAGAGCCCATAAGTCATAACCCGACAAACCTTATACTTGGAGAGTCAGCCGACATTGAACTTCTCATATTAGCTTGCTACTCTTATAAATCAGCTTGGCCACAAGGCAAAGAGCCGAAGACAGGGCTAGTTACAGGAGTTTCCTCCGTTTTCCTGTAAGTTACGATTTTTACCAGCTCATTTAGTTTTCCCCCCCTTTCCCTGGAGAGGTAGTTTTCATGCTTCTTCCTGTCTTGTTCAACATATTAGTACGTGATACTGAATTCATGGTGTAATGATACACATTTTACAGGCATATTTATTGCTAGAATGGCGGCACCTGCTGAACCAACAAATTACTACTATTTCCTTCGCTTGGGCAGAAACTCTAGTCTGCAATTCAGGTACACTGCTATCAGTACTATCCAGAGATACTGCGATTTTCCACAACCGCACGATACATTATTATCCCGTTGCCAGGCCATTTTTGCTTTGACTGTCACGGTGTTGCTTAACTTTCTCCAACTCAAGTATCAAGGAAAAGACGAATCTCCCTTTGAAACACGCCCCAAGACCACGTTGTTGGCCCTCGTCAGTTTGGTCCTGTACTTCTTGTCATGCGATGTCAAGCTCAGAATCTCTGGAGATGATCCTAATAAATATGTCCATTTCCTCGTTCACAGCACCATGACATTCTTCGGTCCCGTGTCATTGGCATCTCTATCATCAATCTTTTTCCCAGAATCGGTTTGCCCACTTCTGTTTTCACTATCCATTTTATTTTCATCATATCAGTTACCCCAATCCCAAATTAAGAAATCATGGGAGTGGTTAAAATCCAATATCATGGACAGGCTCTATCAACGGCCACAACAGTATGGAAGGAGAAGGCTCCTTTCAGTTCAACTTCCTTGGCTCCGACAACTAGCCGTCAGAGACGAAGTGCACATAAATGATAATGTTCCGGTATAAATCAAAAGAATGAATATGGATAACGATCCCATGTAACATAAAATTTATGTATTCTGAGATGTTTTTAATATATGAATTGTGAGTAATACCTAATTTGGCTCCTATTCAATGGATCTCCTCTCTATCAATTTTCCACAATGTACAGTTAGATGCACGTGACTTTCATTTAGGGTAAAATATACTCCACCTTGTGTGATTTAGTGATTTTTTGTATATCCTCTCGTGGTTTTAAAAGTTATAGATAACCCTTTTATAGTTTGAACTAAAATATCAAAATAACGAAAAAATTCTCTATAACATAGTCACAAAAATGTCAAGATTGCCTTTGTTTAAAAATTCAAATGACTGAAGTGAGTAAAATATATAAACATAATATATATGATACTTTAATCTCTTATGATTTTATGTTTTATCACATAACTTTCTTATAATTTAGTATTTTATCACATAACGCCTTATGGTTCAAAATATTTACATAACCCCCTATGGTTAATAAATAATTTCCAACTATGTAGAGGTGTTTTTGATATTTTAATTGACTCTATTATGGAATGCAAATTTCGTTACTTTGACACTTAGTTCAAATTATGAGAGTTATGTATAGCATTTAAACTCACAAAGGAGTTATGTCAAAAAGTGCTAAATCATAAGAGAGTAAAGTATATTTTACCCTTTCATTTATTGATAAGATTTAGGATTAGTCAAAATTAAAAGTGATCATGTCCTTTCCTAGTAAATAACACATGTGTCATATATTTAAATGTGCATTATGAATCATGCTATGTTTTCACACTTGGGCATTGACTTGGCCAGGGGTCAAGGGTCAATGAGTTCGATTGGGGTTAATTCAAATGACATCATAAATATATCATAAATATTTTTATTAATAATATATAAAATTTATCTTTAAATTTGTGGTTTACAACTTTATAAGTTTAGATTTAGTCCAACAAGACTTTGTAATAAAAAAATTATAAGTCCAAAATAGTGATTGACATATCGAGGTCATCCTCATAGAAGCCATAACTTCAACATGATGGTATTAATAAAAAGGGCAAATTATCCAATTGACCCTTGAACTCTTTGTCCAGATAAAAATAAGCTCCTCATCTATTTTTTGCTGGCTTTAAACCCTTGAACTTGTAAAATTGGGCACATGTCACCCTTTAGCCAATTTCTCCGATTTTGCAACCGAAAGGCCAATTAGCCAATTTCTCCGGTTTTGCAACCGAAAGGCCAATTCACACGAATACCAGTGTACTTCTTTAAAGGGCATTTTTGTCCGCATCTTCTAAGCAAAAAGGGAAGAACTCCTTCTTCTTTCCTCCATTTCTACAAAATCCCCCCAACTTCTTCAGCCTTTCTTGGAATGTCATCCTTCAATTCACCCTCAGCACCAAGTGAATAACTTTCATCACCACTACTATCACAGTCCCCAACTGAAACTGGTTCAAACCCTTTTCTGTGAATCCTGTACACCTTACCATTCTCCACAAAGCTCACGCTCTTATTCACTTTAGCTCCTAATCCATCACTTGGGTGGCCTGAACGGGCAGTTCTGTTCCGTGAAATGCCAGGGATTTCAAGATCCTCCTCATCTTCCGCGTTATGACCAATAGGAACTTTAGTAGACAATGCATCAATCCGGCCAACTAAATCCTCCAATCTCTTATTCTTCTCCAAATTACGACAAGCAAAGGTGCCACTTTTATGCTCATTATGCAAAACCCCACATTTCCTAGGGGCATTCTTTGTAACTAGTTTAGCTGATATCTCAGACTTTTTCACGGTAACCCCATCAATTAAATCCAAGAAGCCAGTTAATTCTCGGCTAATTGATTTTTTACCACCTCTAATCATTGGATCGCCACCCTGCAAAATAAATCCCAATATAAGAAGCATGTTGTTTATGAATGATTTGTTGGTATGTCCAACAAAAATAGAGTCTTTACCTGAATGGAATCGAGTTTGAACAACAATCCTAAGGTTTTGCGAAACAGAAGTTGAGGATCTAAGTGAGGATTCTTTGAGACGGAAGATTTGAGAGTGTTGACAGTTGACTTGATGGAAGCAAGGTCCTTGAGTTGCCGGAGGGTTTTTGATCTGCGTACCAGAAAGGCTCTGAAGTGGGTTTGAATGATACGGGTGGCGGTTGAGAAAGCTACGGCGAGGGTTTTGCAAAAATGGAGGAAAGAAAGAGGAGTTGTTCCTTTTTGCTCGAAAAATGTGGACGAAAATGTCCTTTGAAGAAGCACACTGGTATTCGTGTGAATTGGCCTTTCGTTGTAAAACCGGAGAAACTAGCTAAAAGGATCACGGGTGCCCAATTTTACAAGTTTGAGGGCTTAAATTCAGCAAAAAATAGATGAGGGATTTATTTTTATTTAGACAAAGAGTTCAAGGGCCAATTGAATAATTTGTCCTAATAAAAATTATTTAAAAATTAAAATAGTATGTAAAATATCTAAAAACGTGTTAATGTCAATAAAGGTGTACATATCTGCGTTTAATGTTTCAAAACTATTTAATAAGAAAGTGCAAAAAAATTAGAACAAACAAGTAGCAATTAATATAATTCAATGCATACTTGTAAGTTTAAAGTTAAATTTATGGACGATATTTATAGACTATGAAACATTTCTAGATATGTTAATAGTTTTTCAATATCCAAGGGGTTAGAACATAATATTGAAAAAGCTTTTTGAACCCCACGTTATTCCCCCAATTCGTTCCTCCTTTTCCTCTAAACGCCGACAAAGGCTCCTTCTATTCTTATGCTACATTTTCTTATTCTTCTTCTCCAACCATTCATGTCCACTGTTTTTTTTGATAATCCAAAAAAGGATGGAAAGTAGCATAAGCTCTCAAGTCTCAAGCCCGTCGACCGTGAAAACTCTTAGGCAACCACTCCAAACGTTTTGAGAAACAAGCCTTAGATTTTGTCCGCTCTTTCTATTTTTCATTTTTTTTTCTTGAATATTTGCTTCCATTCTTATTTCTTCTTTCTTTTTAGGATCTCCATTCTTATATCATTAGTAATTTATTCTCAAAACTCACAAATAATCAAACTATTTTTTTTTTTCAAACTTCTCTCTTCTTCATCTCTTTTTCTTTTTTCTTTGCGGTCTTTTCCCTAGATCTAAGATTAAAACTTGTTTAGAAAAAGATATCGAGGACTAATGTGGTGGCTGAATTGAAGGAGTCGAAGAGGTGAAATGGGTTTGTACTTTGCAGAGATATGAGAGATCAGTAGGGATCAGAGGCAAAGAGGAAAAAAACAGTCAACAAAAAAGGAAAATAAAAAACCAAGTTCTCACTAGTTTTACCTATTTCCAGTCAACTCGAGTTTTGACTCAAAGCTTGGATTTGACCGAGTTTCTATCATCCGAATTTTTAGGATAATTTGGACCGGACATCTGACCGATTCTCGGTTGAATTGGTCAGACCGATTAATCCGATCCGAGATTAAAAACACTGAATTCATGGAGTAAGGATCCATCGAGAAGGAACCAAAGCTCTGCATGATATGCTTCGCGAGTTATGTTAACTAATGATGCCCAAGCCCGTGTAACTAGGGATGGCAACGGGGCGAGGTTGGGGCAGGGGACCCCTCCCCCATCCCCCGCCCCGCTACCTACAAACTTCCCCCGCCCCCGCCCCCGTCCCCCGCCCGCCCCCGCCCCGCCCCGTCCCCCGCCCCCGCCCTGCTTCCCTCGCGGGGCACCCGCGGGGTTAATAAAATTTTTCCCGCTAGGTTAATAAAATTTTATTATAGTTAAATTTTAATAAATAATCAAGTATTAAAATATCAACACATCATCAAGTTATTATTCATTTTAATTTTACAATTGAAACTCATAAAAACAATCAAACAAAAATTATTTGAATACAATCCAACATGATCAAATAAATACAACTAAAATAGTTAAGTTTTCACTTTTGGTACAAATACAATCACTAATTCATTATTGTGTTTGTACTTTTTTTTTTAGAATAAAGTGTTATTCTATTAAGTATAATTAGAAATTTAGTATAAATGTATTAGTAAATTTAGTATAACTAATTAATAAATTCTATTAGTAGACATGTCTAATTATTCATATAATTGATAATATTAATTATATTACATACACTAATATACATTATATAATACATCTAACTAATAATATCATTATCATAAGTTTATAACTAATTAAATTACATATTATATATAATTATATATATAATTTTTTTTTGCGGGTGGCGGGGCGGGGGTATACTCCGCCGCCCCCCGCCCCGTTTCTAAACGGGGGGAAAAAATTCCCCCCTGCCCCCTGCCCCCTCCCCATCCCCCGCCCCAACTCCCGTCCCGAGAGCCCCCCGCGAAAACCCGGATAGCTTATTCTTTTCTCTCCTGGAAGTCTCACTAGCCTACTTTTCTTTATCTCATTTCTGGGCTGAAGGGGAACCGCTACACCTCACCTCTTTCTGCTTCGATAGTGAGACTATCCATAGCGGGCTTTCTCTCTTCCCCCTCTCGGGAGCGAACTACTCATTGCTGTGTTGCCCCAACCCAAGGAAGGGATTTGGTGAGGAGCATTGTTTTGAGGGAGGGAAAGCGTGGTTGACAAACCAATCATCGGAGGCGACTGGGCTGGAGTGCGGGCACCCGCCCTCATTGCCATCCCTACATGTAACGGAATAGGTTTTATTAGGGTTTCCAATTTTAGGTTAAAAATTCTATGTTGGTTATCAATTCTCCGTTAAAAATACATTGGCTTATTTTGTGAAGATGAAAGATTAAACTAGTAGCTTATAATGCATGAATAACTGAATTGGCCGCAACTCCAAAGAATGAGGGACCAAAATAGTTTTTCTTTAATAGTGCACGTAGTAGCAAGTGACTAATTCCGTTATATTTCTCCAACTTTCTATTAGAATTCTTACATGGGCTTCATTCTGTGAAGATGAAAACCTAAATTAGTAAACGATGCCGTTTAATGGACTAAATTGCCACAATTACAAAGATAAATGACCAGAGTGCTCGTTTTTCCTGTTTCAAGACAAAATATACAAGTGGTTCAAGCCCTTGAATGCAGAGAGTTTAAAATAAATCAAGTCAATCAGTGGCTTCATTGGGGGCCCTGTGTCCGCACTGACCAAAAGGAAGTTTTGAATTTTAGGCATAGATTTTTTCAAAAATTCTATTTTTATCTCACTTATTTTTCAGTGTGCCCTCACTTATTTTAGAATTTGTTTTTACCTTGATAATTGGTAGGAATTCATTACAATATGTACCTATGAATCATTTGATAACAATTTTCTATATAAAAAAAAATGATGGCTACAAGCATAAACTCAGTACTCTAGAGAGTTTAGTTAACTTGTGAGTTTTTCTATATTAAAAAAAAAAAAGTAGTACTTTAATGAGTTATAGAACATTGGAGGGCCCTTTACATCATCTTGTTTTATTTATTAATTATTTATACAGTTACTTATTATCATTTACCATATGAATATCCTTATTGTTCCACAACATTTACAGAACTAAAATAATCTTAATCTATTTGTATCCCCCCACTGAAATATTTTTCTGCCTCCACCACCTAAGTTAATTCAAGTTGAGCATGTCATATGGGTTTACTTTGTAGATCGTCTCTATTTTCAATAAATATTGTGTAGGGATTAATAGAATACGCTCATAACTCCATGCCATCCTCTTTCTATTTTTTTATTTGATTAAAAAAAAAAAGATGAAAGAGTTCTTGCTCATCCTTAAACTCACCACTTAGAAACTTCAGGGTATTTCAACCTCTCACTCTGAGTTTTGTGGAAGCTTCGCCTTGCAAATTGAATCAGAAGTGCGAGGCCTACTAGTGCCAGATGATGTTGCCGGTGTCTTAGATGTTTATGGCACTCTTTTTTTTTTTTTTTTGAAGCAAAACAAGAAGATAAGAGTATAATTGTCATCCTACTGTTTATACTTTTTTTCTTCATTTTTTCTTAGCTAGTAAAGGAGTCCACATCCTTCATACTTTATTGAATCGTGCTAAAGGTCATCAGAAGTTCGGGCATGAGAAGATAAGAGCACAACTATCATCCTACTATTTATACTTTTTTCTTCATTTCACTATTTTTAACTTAACCAGCAAAGAAGTCCACATCCTTCATTGCTTTATTGAATCCTGCTAAAGGTGATCAGAAGTTCGGACATGAAAAGATAATTGTTTTTAAATACGATCCCTTGGTGGTGAGATAACTAGTAGTGGCATGTGGTATCCAAAGTTAAAAAAGGTCTAGCCACAGTAAGTCGTAGTAAGTCATTTGATAAGAATGTTTATTAGTGAGAAAGGGGGACCTGAAAGAGATTTTTGGTGCAGGAAAGGTCAAAGCAGTTGCAGCCGGGTGGAGGGAGGAAATTCAGTCAATATTGAATGTCTAATACTAAGACACATCAGTCCCTCAAATATACATATAGACTGTATTGCTCCCAGTGTCACGATTTCTCCACCAAGGCATGAAATGTCAAAAGAACTTTTAAAACATATATTCACAGTAAAGGTTTTCAAAAGTTCATTATCTAGACCAAACCTTTTTTTTTTTTTTTCTTAAATCTAAACCAAACCTGAGTGTGTACAGAGACATCTGCAGTTCCCATGAATTTCCTACAAATGATGTTTGTTTGATAACGTAAGCTCCTATAGCGACAAACCCCTTGGCTGCACCACAAAAAGTGGGAATGATATTACACCTTTCTGTTTTCTTATTAGCCGGCTCCTCTTATAAATTAGGTCGATCAGGCACAAAGGCACAAGGCACAAGACAGAGCTAGTGCAGGAGGCTGCTCCCAGTTGCGGTAAGTCATCGCACTATCAGCTTAATTATCAAGTAGCTTTCACGCTTCTTAGTTCTTGTCTTGTCTTATTTAAGCATTTGTTCTCGATTGATCATTATAAATTCTGATTTTAAATAATCAATTTTTGTGATGTTCTTATTTACTTTTGCATCTGCCATATTACAACTTATGCTCTTTCTGATTATTGTCCTCAATTACTTTTCATAAATCAATTTTTGCAAATTCTAAAGTAAATGAAAACAAGCCCTTCAAATACTAGTACTCAAATCATGTCAATGACACTTTTTTACGTATTGCCAGAATGGCGGCACAGGCTGAAGCCGCAAATTACTATAT